CCCAATCATAACATTTGTTACCTAGATTGATTTCCATGGATCACAGTAGCACCACATGAGGACATCTGAAGTTTGGTATTTATGAATTATTTCAGTTGTGGCTGTATTGAACCTTTCAACCAAAGTATTCTGTGCTTAGTTGATGTCTATAAGGTCGTTGTTGAGATGGTATGCCCCAAATGAAATGAACACTGGCAACACACTGCACAGTTCAATTGAAAAATTTTATTCATAATTAGTATTAATGCTCTGTGGTGCTTCTGAAGTGTAATACAGCTGAACTACATCCTGTGATCAGTTTTAAACAGATGTTTTGTATCTTTTCAATCTTATCTGGTTGTGCAGTGCTCATAATGATCATCAGTAGTGAATAATACAGGATACAACTTTGATACAGTATAAGCAGATGATGTTTCTCAGCTCAATTTACTGCTGTAATTTAAGTGCATTGAAATGCCTTTGGTAGCTCTGGTTATCATGGTGTTAATGTGGCTTATGAAGGTCACTTCTAGGTACTTCTGTTACTCTTCCAGAAGGATAGCAGTGCCCACAAAGCATGGTGATGGTTTGTCCTCATCAACAAGTGTACTTTTAAGTGTGCAGAATATGGCTGCAGTTTTGGAAAAAAGTATGACCATCCCTGTATCATTGCACCATTTGTTCACCCTGTTAAGAGATGGTTGTTCTTGCTTTCAATTTTGGCTACACACCAGAATGATGTTAGCAAAGAACAATACACGACATCTGGTTGAACTGTGAAGGAAGGATCCATGGTGTATATTTTGAACAGACTGGTAATAGTGATGATCCTTGAGGCAGACAAGTATTGATGGCTGATCCACTGTGGCTTTCAGCTTCAATATTTTAAAATGCATCTTCTGGTATTTAGTGCATCTATGACCTATCTTACACTGATTCTGAAAATTTTGTTATCAAGAATGGACAGCTATGCTATTGTAGGCATCTTCCAAGGTGTTCATACTGGCTTAAAAGTCTTCCTATGTATCAGCTGCAAATTCAACAGCATTAATCCAGGCTTTTCTTCCACTGCAATAACCACTTAACAATGTTGGTAGTAGTTGTCAATTCAATGGGCAAGACTTCTCTGAATCTTGCCAATGATATTTTGTAGGAGGATGAAGTTAGCAAAAGCAAGGTCTATGTAGGAGATTATGTACCTTGGTACTCAGCAAATCTTGTTCATTCATCCGAGTTAAGCAGCATAAAGTTGGTGGCTATACTGCAGATAGCAGAATGTAAACCTTTAGCATTAGTGCTTTCACCTATATTCAAGGTGGGGTGTCTGGCATTGAAGTCTTCTACAGTTAGATAAATGTTGTAAGACAAGAATCTACAATCTTCAGTATGATGTACCGTGTTATGTTTCATGTGTGGGTAACTTTGGGTGAGCATCTGGATGGTTTGTAGCTTGCAATAGTGATTGATCCTCTGAAAGCTGACAAAATGTACATAGAAGATGTTGCTTTTATGTCAAACTGCAATAACCATCCCATTCTCTGGGTCAATAATGAGGTTAGTCAGTGAGAGTGAACTCCTCAGGACTTGAGTGTTTAAGTCTTTTGAAAGAATATCATGTCATAATGTTCAGAGTGCTTCCCATGGGAGTATTTTCTTTGCCTGATCCCCCTGACATTGCAGTACATGTTATAATGAGAGACTGGCAGTCGGCACGCTTTTTTACACATGCATTATTTATCAGGTAGGTCTTAGACCTCAGTTTCCATGTTCGTTTCTTCCTTGATATTTAAGATACCCAATGGAATGTGCAAACTTTGTTGCTCTTGTGGGCACTTGTCTGGGTGCTATTTTTAATATATTGTCATCTTTAGTTGAAGCTCTCTAGACACTAACCTGTTGATCACAGGAAGAGGAATGAAATTTTTTCTGCAAAGAGTACTAATGCCCAATGATATTGCCATCAAATTTTGTGAGTTTATGGTGGTGAGTTAACTTCACGACTAAAGCAGGTGTTCTGCATTTTAAAACCAGACTCTTTGGGTTACTGATCACCAGTCAAGAAGCTGTCCCAAAAGCTGTATTGATTTCTTAGGAAGTATGTTGGTGATTTCTGATGGCAGTGTCATACAGACAGTAATCATCACTAGTCATCAGCTGGTCTAAAGGTTATTTTATATGACCCTGACTAGGATATCTACTCTTCAGAACAGTTGTTTGTGTAACAACAAGTGCTGGATACACAAAAAGGAGCTGCCCCTTGTCTTTGTGTTTGCCCCATTTTTAATGGCTAAATAGCTTTGGCAGTCTGTACTTTCTCAAAAATCCTCTATCCACCAGTGACAGGTAATATTAACACACAATTAAACGTAAAATAATATCTACAATTGAAGCTAAAATCAAAACAGTAGCTGATTAAATCTGAAAATAGTATATGGAGGTACTTTCTTCCAAGGTGAGTAACACAGACATGAGCACAAGAAATATGCACAAACTAATAACATCCCAATTTTGAAATAGCACTGAACTGTAATTTTCCAGATTGTATTAAACATTTTCCCCTTTGTTTTTTTATTTAAGTAGTGTATAAATACATATAATACTGATATCAAAATTACAGTAACTTGTAGACTGAAAACATTATTTGCATGGACTGGAAATGAAGTCTCTCTGATAATTTATGAGCAGTCCCACAGAACAATAGTTAATAAATTTCCAAGTAAAAAGTTTGTTTCAAATTGTAAATCTTCAATACTTTGATATTATTTAAGTGACAGAGCTGAAACTTCATAAAAAACTTAAAGCAGTTCTCAAACTATTTCAAGATTGACTAATTTAAGAGTCTTACTCAAACAGTCTTTGCTTCAGCCCATGAATTTATATTTATTGAATGTATGCATAACATACAATATACTTTCATAACAGTCAGATTTACACACTTTTCTTAAATGAGTATTTGAATATAAATAATACCCATTTATAACATAAAACTGATAAATGTACACATTTAATGCTAATCATACTAAACAAATAAAAATATATACAAACTACTTTACCCTTAATTGTTACCAGTCAAAATATTTAAGCATTTAAGAAGATTTATAACTGTAATAACAAAGCTACACAAAAACTGAAGAAACATGCTTCAAAGCTCAGATTAAGTTTTCCATGCTAAATATTAACTTTGTAAAACTAATTCTAATCTACTCACATATTTGTAGTAAAGTGATATTTGGATCCAAAACACACACTGTGCCCAAATTTACCATCTGAAAGGTCAGATTCAACAGCTCATATGTTAAATACTCACTAGCTAAGCAGATACTTGTGTGTTTTGATGTACAAATAGTTAAAATTTAAGTTAAGCATAGTTAGCCATGTGCAGATGTACATACTAAAATATGTTAAATTGTTTCATGTTACAAAAAGTTCATAAAACAGAACTATTTTAACTAGTAATAGTTTAACATATTGGGAATTTATTGTAAATTTAAATGTGATATAAATGTTGATCTACATGGGATACTATTATAAAGCACTGCAAAGTTAAGCATTTAAGCAATGAGAAAAGAACAGTAAAGAATACATCAAAGTTAGAAATCATGTTGGGAAAAGTATTCAAGGGAATATTAATGTAAACCAACAGCAAAATTTGTTTAGTAGTATTTAATTGGTTAGACAAATAGACTTCCTTTTAGACATAGAGAATAAAAATAACTGTATAATGATCAGGAGATCTAAGAAATTCAAGATACTCTATCATCAATCCTTTCCTGCAACTAAAGATGACTATTTAATGAATATGAAATTTTGATTTTTTTGAAGGAAAGAATAAGTAGATAACTTTGTACATGTGAACATTATGCTTTAATGTAACATTTAGTACAGCCATGCATATGCTATAGCTAAAGAGCAGATGTCTTGTATAATACGATAAATTTTTATGTAATATCCTCAGGTGTCAGGTAGATGTGAGTTTATGACTTTTCTTCATTACTGTCACAGAGTTCAATCCTCTTGGCTTCTATCTAATCAGTCAAACTGAAGCCATGTGTCAAAAATCAACAATGGTGATAAATATTCTCAATGTCAACAAAACATCTCAGTCTGTATTTATATTAACGGTTTGAAAAAAAACAATTAATGAATTTATTTAATGTGCTCATGCACCAGAAAATCAATATAAAAAAGAGAATTAGCTTAAAGTAAAGAAAAAGTACTAGAACAAGTGCAGAGAATATACTGGTACTGTTCATGAATCACACATCAAATTTAATCTTCTGGGATTTATTGGGTAAAAAGCTATTGTTTTTTATTATTATAATACATAATGTTCTCACTGACCTAAAGAAGTTGAAATGGTGCTGTAAATTTGATTCAAGTTCATGGAAACTATGTTTTGGAACTTATTTTTAAGCTCCACTGGATATCTATTTAGACTAATATTAAAAGAATATGGTATTTTATCCAAAAATGACAGTAGACTTAATCAAAGCTTAGAAGTAGCATTACTTGTATACAATATTTGAAATTGACAGCAGAGGTTTGTTACTGAAATGGTTTATTTTTTGTGAAATCAATTTCTATTTTCTGTGAACTAGTAGCTGTAACTGAATAGATTTGAGTGATACGTTTGATGTATTGGAATACAATAATACTTTTAATCATGAAGATTTAACTACTATCTACAGGATGTAACACATAAGCCAATCTAGTGTTAATACACAGTGAAATGATTATTACAGCAGATAAAGGTCCTTTTCACAGAGGTTAAATACAAAATACACTGTTATATATCAGTTTACAGCTTCTCATCAGGATGCATGCATAATGCTGCAGTGTCATGTCATCTTTTCTCAAAAATCTGGAATTAATTTTAAAAACTTGAAATTGATTTTAAATTATCACAGTTGGAAAAAATAACATGACCTGTTGTATCTTTTCTGCAACTACAAACAGTAAGAATTATAATTGTCTTCATAATAAATGGTTGAGGTACAACAGAATTACTATTTCACATTATATCCATGTTGTTCTACATGCACAAAAACCTTTATTTGAAAGCAAAAATCAATACAATAACAACACAATGAAAAGTCAAGAAATATATATTCATCTATGTGACACTAAATCTATGTTCTTTCCCATTGGCCAACAAGAGTACAACAACTTTGTTAGCTATCCAGACTAATCTTGCCATCTTTAAAGGATTACCCTTCACAGTTTCTGGCAGTGGAGGTGTACTGTGAGTACGCACACAACGTGTCTGGACATTACCAAGACCAAACAAGCCAGTTGCTGTCTGAAAATTAAAAATGATCACATAGTTAAATTGATTTTGCAAATGTATAAAGTGTACCTGCTGTCAATTCACATACTCACATATCCAAACCCAGAATACATTTTATAACTTCCAACATTATACACTATAACTTTTTCTTACTATTGTTTGTGTTGCCCTGCTTGCTGAATTTCTTTATGCCTGATTTCAATAGCTTACATAACTATATAAAAGATTTCTGCTGAAGTAATACTTAATTTTCATTAACTCCTAATTAACCAGGCATTGTAAAAAATATATGAATGCAATTTCTTTGTACATACTTGAAATTTTTTTAAAGTTTCGAACAACATAAAAAAAAACAACACAAAATTCAAAATGTACAAGTTAGAGACCAATATCTTGGTATACAAATAAAAAAATCACACAGAAAGCAGAGTTTCAACTGACACTAAAATACTGTATGTTAAATTTATCTAAATGTCATGAATTGTTTAGTACCAAAATTCAAGTTTTATTGGCTATGATTTGTTACAAAGTTCATCTGAGATAACTTTTCTTTCTTATGCATAACAATATTTTATACTTATTATTACCCGACTTTAAAAAAACAAATGAACATTTCACAGAAAACAAAAACTAAATGGTATGAATAATTCACCCATAGTCTGGTACAGTTAGATTTAACTTCTTTTTTAACCCTATGTGTATGGGTGAGGGACAAAATGCACAGATCATGAAGTTTTACATTCAAAATTTAATTTAAAAACTTTATTTATTATCAACTTATGTCATTAAATTGGTATCAAAACATACTAACTAAATCAAATTTAAATATTATACAAGTTTAAATTTCTTATTTCAAAAAGAAATATTTAAATAAATTCTCAGTCTTCTTCACTTTATGTATCACGTGACACTTGCTTGCTCTGAATTGCCCATTTAAACATTTTTCCCACACCCTTTTTGAGATTCTGAGATTTCATACTAATAACAAACTTACAGTATAGATATTCCTGACATAATCTGATTTTGTAGTCTCTAACTATCTTGATTTATTAGAGAAATTTCAACCAGAAGGACAAACCCACATGTCACACCCTCCTATCCAATACTGTCTTTCAAAAATGTCAATAATTCCCTCTGATGGTTGCTATTATATTGCTTATAACCAAGAAAGAAATATGATTTTAATTTTCTAAATCAGATATGATGCTAATTCATTCTAACAACAGTTTTTTAATTATTCATTCTACAGACCTGAAGTTGCTTGCTATCATAAAGTTTACCCTAAACATGGTAAAGAAAATATTACTTATAATTTAGTTAAAAAGCCAGTTAAATCATAATAGTTAAAGAACATTGTATTCTTTGTGCATATTACTATTTTGTGTTCTGAATTAAATATTTGAAATAAAAAAAAAATTCAGTAAAGTACTGACAACAAATGTAAGAAAACTTGGGTTAACTTTTATTGAGAACTTTGAGTACAAAAAAAGTACAAGACACACTCGTAAGTATTAAATTTCTTGTTTTAGTGTAAGTTTATTTATTTCTATAAAAGTAACTAAAAAACTTCTTGGTGAGGTATGCATGCATATGCTTTACATAATTCAATATCAAGACACATAATAGTGTGTCATGTGGCAAAACAACCTGGAGGACACACTGTGTGTTATTAACAAGTGTGATAGTTTAGCAATTTTCCACTTTCTGTAGTTCTGACTGCAGTAATCCAAACTGCCACAGGGATGTGCTCTACTGGACCCTTACATCACATACTAGATTTCAAGGCAATCCATTAAGAAATACACAAGATATAAAATCCCCAATTTTAATTCAATATTTTTTCCTATTTTTTTCTTTGCATTTTATTTGATAGAAAAACATTATTACCTTTTATGGATTTTTTCAAATTTGGTACACTGATAGATATTTATAACCTACTATAAGGTGTCAAATTTAGTCTAAATAAAAATCACACGTGCAAAGTTATTCAACAAAAGCTACTCAAATTTGACAAAAAATTTTGCACACACCTACACAAAAAGTCACATGCCTCAAGTTGAACAAAAATGCACCCTAGCTAATTAATAAATGAATACTTCCTGTAAAATTCTTATTAATGCTATAATTGTAGCTATCAGTTTGGCACAAATTTCGATTTCATTACTTTAAGTTGTACGCTTTATCCTTTTTTTGGCTGCACCTTTTTTTCACACCTAAGGTGTTTTTGATTAGATTTTGTTTAAAATAAGTTCAGCTTTGACTTGCTAGGTAATTTCTTGCTTCGTTATGCAGGCTCAATAGATAAGTTTAAAGAGGAGTAAAACAATAAAATTAAATTAAAACATATGTAGACTGTTACAAGCCTGAGAAAGTTTAGGATAAATAATGGCAACTTTTGTTCTAACCTTCAGTCATTCAAGAAAGAAAAAAGGGTAATTAGATTTATTGCATTTATTTGTGGTAGTTACAAGGTCCATCAGATGGAATAAGCCTGTATAAGGGTACAGAAAATAACATATAAAATACAAAGTTTTACTGAAAAACATTTTACATTCACTTAGAAGGATCAGTGGTTAACGAAATGAAATACGAAAACTGTAAGATGAAAAAAGTATCTTTATTCTTAAAATGAAAATTACTTTGTACTCAAGACTAGTCAGAGTTTTGAATCAGACTGACTAAAGTATGTACTCAGAAAAATCTTTAGTATAAATATTACATAATCCTGAATTATTGTGCACAATATACTTGTAATATTTATTGAAAGCTTACCAAATTTTACATTAAATAAGTTCAGAATTATAGAATTCATAGTAAACATTAATTCTCCAATAAGAGGTTGGTCTAATGGACTGATGTTATGCACACACGGTTAACTTCAGCTGGATTTTATAATATTATAAATCCAGAGACTTTGTTATTTACACTTTGACCTAGAAAGTATATACACTGAATAATGTGGTGTATGATATTACACTTATAATACTTGTTTCTATTGCTTCACACCTTTGTGTATAACGAGTTTGGGCAATGTGTTTCTCTTACTTGTGTATGGAAGCACAGTACACTAACATAATAGTAAACTGACAAACAAAGCTTCATAAGCATAATGAAGAGGGTTTATTTTGGGGAACATACTATATGTTTTTACAGAAATTGGTCTGTTGTCTGTCTTCTTCAGGCCAATGTTCTGTTGAAATATGTAGTATGTTCTTCACAACAAAACCACTTCATTATGCTTACAAAGATTTTGGCAATTTACTATTAATGTGTTTCTCTGTACATAAAAACTGTTTTAATACAATTGTATATATTTTTGTTTGTGTTTCATTCTTCAACAGTTTCATATTTTCCCTTATATTTTCATTTTTATGAGATTTCACAAAAGACACACCACACCATTAACCTAGAAAATAACAATTACTTACTCGGATAACAATAATAAAAGATGAAGAATGGATACTTAGCACTTAAAATCTTAAATATAATGAAGCTTCTTACCTGCCAAAAACAGAGTTTGTTCTCCCCACTTGAATAGGACACAAGGTACTTGCCATCAGATGAAAATGCACAAGCAGTGACAGCTGCTGCATGAGCTGGAATGTTCTACAGTAAGAAAAAATACCATTTTCAGCACAGTGAATAATACTTTAATTATATAAAGAAAAAATGATTACTTTTTTTAAATTTAAAAATGGTCTTTCACATTCACAACACCTTTAAATTCACCACTTTTTCATTTTCTAATATGTGATTTAAAAACGTTTTACCTACATGGTACTCTTAGATACATCTTTAAGGTAGTTTGTACAGATAACACAAGGGTAACTCAAGCAATGTATAATGAAATAAATCTAATTCTGACTTTGACTGAGTTTAAGGAAGACAAAAGATTGAAAATATTGTGACAAAGTGAAAATCAATCTTTATCTACAAAAACACAATCAAAGTCAGGCAAATGTAGATATGCAACAAAAATAACTAAACAATAGTACCAGGTACAAAATTTCAACAGTGAATCAAAAAGATTGGTTTTGATTTTAAAGATATCTGCAGAAAAACGGGACCTTTATGAAGATATATATACCAGTAAGGATACGCCAGCTATAATATTTTTTAGTTTATGAACGTCAAAATTTTTCTTACACTAAAAATGTATGTCTGATAGCTACTTACCTCACTCACACAAAGCTGTCTCAATCGCGATCAGCTCACCAGTTTTTATAACCTATCAATTTCATGCTATTTCTGAACATGTACATATCATGTAGCAATAGTACTGCAACACCTATATTAGCACAGCTAACTCCCTCTGCTATTCCCACTCAATCCTCACTTTCAAGAATTGGCATGTTTTAAAAGAAGAACACCCAGGGTTGGCGCAAGGATATTTTAGCACCCTAGGCAAGACCTCAGATGTGCACCCCGTTTTGATGAGCTAATGTAAAACCTGCATTACTATACTGTTTTTTGTAAAAATCCAAAAAACTCATTTGTAACGTGTATATTTTCATCTTGTGGCTGCATAACTGCATTCATACCAATAACCCATTTATTATTATTACATAAACACAATGAAGAAACAATGTCAATGAAACAATTTTCTTTGAAGCTTTATTTTGAGGCAATCCATAAAAAGCCATTTATAACAAGCATATTTTAAACATTTGAGTTCTTTCACATTATTAACCCGTTTAGTATTATTATCATATATATTTAGCGAAGAAATAAAAAACACAATTTAATTCTATACTATATTTTGTAATAATCCCCAAACTCTATTTATTACATATACATTTTCAACCTTTGTATCCATACATGTTAGTGCTAACTGCAGCACTGCTGCATTTGGGCAATGTAGGCAGAAGAAAATGAATAAATTAGTCAGAAGCTGACTACTGACACAATACACTGTTATGAGACACTGTTCCTACAGACAGTCGTAACTGAGGAGCTCAGCAGACACATGAAGCTTTATTAAAACTTTACTCTCCATACTTTTGATTTGGTAAATGTGTAAACAAGTTGTTTCAAGTCAAGTTTTTCAGAGCAATTTCAAGTTCTATTGACATAGTGGAAAGTACAATAAGTCTTTCTTGCGTCTTGGATGAACGTAAATATGTTTTATCAATTTTAGTTTTGAAAAACTTCGCTCATCACTGGCCACAGAAATAGTGTGTGTGTCAAGAGAATACGTAAAGCAATAAATGCATTTGGAACACTATTTGCCATCTTATTTTTACATATAAATTTTAAACTGTCTTGTGGTGACAATGTTTCTTGACCTGGCTTGCAGTGACATGTTTGTCAGATATCTGCAGACAGGTCTACAGCATCAGTAGCTTTGTTATCACCATGTTGTAAACCTTTTTTCTAGCTTTAAGCAATGCTCTATTATTTCCTTTGTTGTTATTTTCTGCAAACTGTGAATGTCATAAAAGAAGTCAAACAGAGAACTAGCTTGATGAATCCGTGTGAATCTTTGTTCAACTGATTGTATTGACGTGTCCAAGACTGCAAAATAAAAGTTCACTTTGAACTTTTGCTTGGAGTTCTGAATTGGTTCATGTTCATTGTCTGTCTCATATGTGAACTGTTTTCTCCTCCTAATATGGACTGGCTCTGGTTCAAAGTTTGGTAATATGTCCAACACCTCAGCAAGTTCACATGCATCTATTAATTCTTTCTCAAATTCTTCGTCATTCTTGTAGTTTACAAGAAACTTTGTTTCTTCCAGTTGTTCAACTGCATCATGTATATTAAACTCCTTCCCTTGAATTTTTTGTTAGCCATATTAATCTTAAAGGGGATACCATACCAAACAATGAGAGAAACCATAAAGTTGAACTCAAAAACGTTTTTTGCAAGACCTTGTGCCTCAACCTATGAAGAAATGCTAGATGATTATGTAAGGGAAATATCATCAGAGATTTCAATTAAGCCATCAAACATACTTCCTAGCTGCTAGCAAAGAGATTTCAATGCATTAATTTGGTTTTCCCATCTTTTATCACTTAATGGTTTCACTGTCATATGTAATACATGATGTTTTATAACCTCCCAATTGTGTGTTGAAGCTGAAAAGTACACATTGTACCAGGTCAACGAATGCTGTTACCTCTAAGCAACTCTTGGTGGCATCATTAACAACCAAATTTAAAGAATGTGCATAGTGGGAACCGAACAATGCTCCTTTCCCTTTCATGTTCCTTCCATCATCAAGTTTTCAATAAGTAATGGCATCTCCCGTACCTAATGAAGGATGGTGTCCATCATATCAGCACAAATCCCACAAAACTTTCTTTCATGCAAGGCTCTGGCTCACAATTACTAGTATCTAAAGGTACATCTACAAATCAAAGAATCATGGTCATTTGTTTGATGTTGCTTACATCAGGTGTATAATATAAAATTATCAAACAGTATTTGGTAGCATGAGCAGATGCTAGGATTTCTTTTTTATGGCATTGGCTAAGAGCCGAACCAGTTAATTTTGTATTTCTTTCTCAAGGTAGTGTACACACGTCTCATTGTTTTGTATCCTACTAAAATGTTCATTCATAAATTGGTCAAACAAAGCAAGATATTCTATCATCTTCAGAAAGTTTCCATTGCCAGAGGTGTGCAATTTGGCATGTGATCCTCAAAAAGGCAGATTTTACATAGCAAGAACTCTCACTAAAGCAATCAGTTGTTCTAAGATTTGCTGCCAATAATTTTGTTGTTGTTGTTTCTTTCAGGTGATGAAAGAATTGCAGATATGTTTTTCCAATCATTGCAGCTTTGGCCAGCAAGAGACAAACCAGTTGTGCAATTGCCAGTAAACAATTTACAACAGAAGCAGAATAGAGAGTCCTTTGGCTTGGAATACTGTAGCCACTGACAATGCATTTGTTTGTCATTGGCAAGTCTTCTAAAGTAATGATTTGATGAGAAATTTTTTTATTACAGTCTTTAGAAAAACTGTATTGCTTAGTTTCTCTGGCCCATGTTCCACTAAGATTAGTTGCAGATGCTCATCACATTTGGGCAAAATAGCATAGTCACCATAGTCCTAATTAGTGTTTTTTTCATTTTCATGTCTTTCCAAATCTTGATCCCAAGAAACATCACTTTTTTTCATTTTCTAAACTCAGAGAAAATATTCAACTTCATTTTTTGAGACTGTGATAAAAGCTGTTTTCTTATCATCCATGTCTAATTCATCAGCTTAATGGTCTACATCTGGAATTTGTAGACAAAGATGCTTCAGAAATGTACCTGCTTATTTTTTGTTTTTATCTTTTTCTGCCTTCCTTTTACAATTTTGTTCTACAACTCCTTACAGCCATCACCCCCCTTTATGCCAACTGAAAAATAAAAAATCATAATTAAGTCGTTTTTGTTTTCTTTCTCTCTCTAAAATCATATCTGCACACACACAACTCAGCATAAACATTACACTTATTAATCTAACGTTTAAATTAATTTCAAAATTTTCCATAGCACTGAAAATCTAGGACACAGAATACATACTGTTCTACGAGAGGTGTTGATGATGATCTAAAGATACCTTTAGGAAGGTCTTGGCAGGAGAAAGCAGCAAACACTACTGCTCAGAAGCATGCAATGTGCAGTGTACTACTAGGCTGGGTCACAAGAGCTGCACACATCTCTTGGGAAAACAGTGGGCTCCCATTGACTGAGGCATGGCTATCATATGGTAATCCATATGATTCTCCCATTCTTCCTAGTCCACAAGACCATGTGGGGTGCCCTGAGGTATGTGGGCATTGCTGAATCCAAGACCATGTAGGGTGACCTGAGGTAATACTTGTGGGATTAACCTTAAATTTACTCCTGTTAATCCTTTTCATTACCTGAACCCTTTAGACCTGGCTCAGGCCGGCAATGATCTATAAGTAATAAATTTATCAATGCCTGTGCCTTAATTCCGGAATATTTAGGAGAGGGTGCCTTATCATATTTGATATATATATATTCTAAAAGTAAAAATGCATCATATTTCCAAGGGCTTTAATAATGATAATGTTTTCTTAAAAGAATGGGAAATTTTCAAAGGCTGTTTATGAGCTTTTACATTTATAGAAGAACAGCTAAGAATTGTGCAACCCTTTACACCTGGCTCAGGCCGGCAATGATCTATAAGTAATAAATTTATCAATGCCTGTGCCTTAATTCCAGAATATTTTGGAGAGGGTGCCTTATCATAAATCTGCCACTGGATGCTGTGATATTACAAAGATAAGTACTTTGGAAGTCTCTTGGGACAAAAGATGCCATTGCAACATTTAGCAAATGACTGTATATTCACATTTTAGTAAGAATAAATGTCTAATCAGGAAAATAATACTACTTTGATCACCCAATAATTAGCACCTTTTACTTTATAATATTTAAACATGACCTTCTGTACTCGTTTAAAGTTGACATAAATTTAATACTTATAACTCTATATATTGGGTATATCTTCATGAAATTTGGCAGTCTTTCAGTTAATATTACAAGTCTTTCACATACAAAAAGTCATATTTCTTAGTGAAGTACTTTTAATAAAATAAAGTTTTGTCCATGAATATATTGAGCATTTGTTTTGAATAGTCCGT